CATTGCAGTAAAAATATGTTAAAAGAGAAGTATTACATATAAAAGTAATTTATATATATATATTTATTTATTAAACACATTATTATTCATACTATAGCCTAATTCTCTATCACTCTACTGCATTTGGCAAGGCATGTATGTAACAAGTACAACAATTAATAACACCTGCCTTTTATGTCTCCCAGTCAAGGGGGGAAAAAAAGTATCTGTATTAATTTCTTCAAAATCCCCTAAAAAAAAACCCCAAAGTCAGTGGGTTAAAAAAACACAAAAGAGGAAGATTTAAAAACCCCAACCTTTTTTTTTTTTTTTTTTTTTTGAAGCTCTTACAACGAGAAAATGGAGGGGACACATCTGGGTGGGAGGGGGGAGAGGGAGGAGGGAGGGAGGTTTTGGTGATGGGACACAATAACTAACTACATTGTATATTGACAAAATAAAAATTAAAAAAAAAAAACACAAATGGATTCTGTTACAGTTCTGGAGGTCAGAAGTCTGAAATGAATTTCGTGGGAATAAAATCAAGGTTTTGGTATGGATGGTTCTTTCTGGAGGCTGTAGTGGAGAATTGTTTTCTTTATCTTTTCTCCCCCTGCTTCTGGGATTATGTAGCCTTCTTCTTCTCTTTACCTTCTTGCCTCACTCTTCTGAGGATTCATGAGGTTTTATGAAGGTACTTCAAAAGTTGATGGAGAGATTCATATTTTAATTCTATTTTTCCACAAACTTTTTGACGTACCCTCACGTTTAGGGCCCACATTGATAATAAGGACAGTCTTCTCATCTCAAGATCCTTAACTTAATTACATCTGCAAAGTCTCCTTTGCCTTATAAGGTAACATTCGCTGGTTCCCAGGATGAGGTATTGAATATCTTTGGGGAATCATTATTTGGTCTACTACATCCATAAGTTGTGGCCTACCTATTCATAGGTTTTGACTAGATAGTCTTACAAAGGAAAATATCAATAAACAAAATTAATAAGTAAATACAAAATGTGATGACTCTTAATAATAAGGAGATTTATATAAGGGATCTCTGGAAGTCAAGACTGTAGGTGACCAGCAAACTTCATCTTGGGAAACCTCTTCGGTATATACGCTAATTTACAAAGGTATCCCAAAAGACAATATTCCTTAATGTTTAAGTAATTAAAGTTACAAAGGGACTTTAAAAACTTTGGAATAATGCCTGCCTTTGATTAAAATAGTACCTAGGAAATAATAGTTGCATTTATTTTCAACCATTAAATAGGCAAAAAAGAAAAAAAGAAAAGAAATTATCTTCAATGCAGTCAGATACAACTGTAATTCTTAAGAAAATCTGGAAATTAATTTTAAGCTAAATAATGTTTTTTGGTAATTTATGTATTTGGCTAGCATATTGGAGGGGAAAGGGAGAAATATGCTCACCTTAAATAATAAATCCTTCTTCCCATAGCGAAGCTCCTTCAGCTGGGCTTGGATCTTTTTTGACTGTAGGAAGAGAAACATGGGTAAGTGCCTTAATTCATTTCTATTTTCAAATTTGAAGATTAAAATTCTTCCAGACTGCACAAGAATAAATTTTTCAGTCAAGCAAAACACAGTCCAACTAGTTTGGAAAGGAAACAGAAGAGCTTAAGCTCTGCCTAGGGAGCTGGACACTCAGATAGCCGAGGCGGGAAGATAAAAACCAAAGCCTGCTCAAAAAATCATATTGCTTAAAAAGTATTACTTAAAGAAAGCTGCTTATTGCCCCCCCACACACACACATACACACTCCACACTCAAATACACAAAATTTCTGTCACCTGGACATAGCCACAATCTAACTTTAGGTGCTAAATATATCTGCACATATGTATGTCTCAGTTTTTACTGATTATTTTCAAGTATCTAATATTTTAAGATTAAATATAGGTACGTTTAAATTGATGACCAAGTTTGAATGTGACATATACACAAGGGAGAAGGCAGCAAGCACATGTGAAAGGAGGTGAGAAAAGCCAACAGAATGCTGAAATGCTGAGGTGAATTGTGCTTTTACTTTAGAGGAATGCACTTCTAAAAGGGCAATCGCAAACAGAAAAATGCTTAACGAAAAAAATCTCTCCCAGCAGACATGTTTGGCTACCATATTGATTTATGTTCTGTTAAGCCACAGATGTTGATCATGAATTCCCAATTTTCCAGGACAGACCCAGGTTACAGCATTCTAACATAAGAACCTCAGTTAATGTATTTCTACACCTAACATTATAGATCCTGGTCCTTTGCTAAGGAGAAAGGAAAAAAAAAAATGAATAAATAGATTATTATGGTGATATGAAAAAAAAATTAAAAATAGTTGAGTGGGAATTTAAAACAGTACAGTTACTTTGGGAAACAGTTTGGCAGTTTGTTATAAAGTTAAGCAGATGCATACTGCACTACACAGCAATCCTCCCTAGGCATTTATCCAAGATATATTATAATGTATACAGAACTGTTTATGGCATCTTTATTCATAACAGCCAAAAGTGGAAACAACCCACATGTCCATTAACTGGCAAGTAAATAAATAAATTGTACTACATCCATGAAATGGAATAGTAGAGTACTGCTGAGCAATTTAGAAAAAAAAGGAATAAAGTACTGAACCATGCAGCAACCTGAATGGAGTTCAAAAGCATTATGTGAAATGATCCAGTCCCTGGAAACTATATTTTATAATTTTATTTGCATGATATTTTAGAAAAGCAAACAGATAGGTACCAAAATCAGGTTAGTAGTTAACACTGGTTGGGTTGGGAGGTGGAAATTGAATGTAAAATAGAAAAAATACATTTTTATGGGTGATGGAAATGTTCTTGAATCTGTACATTGTTCAAATTCATCAAACTGTACACTTAAAGAAGATGAATTCTATTTTATATCAAATATATCTCAATAAAATTAAATTTTAAAAGTAGTTGGCCATAGTAGGTAATAAACATAAGATCCTTATGTGACTGCTAGATCCTAGTAAACTATGTTGATATGAAAGTCCTCTTTAATAAAGAAATTCCACCCACATTATTGAAATATAATATACATCGCATGTATACGAGTCTTTCACTGAACCAACTGCAAGAGTACTATGATTCGGTTTTCTTACACTCAAAATATTTCTAACTGCATGTGATAGAGTTTGCAAAGTGGAAGCTGTGTTACAATGGCGCAAAATTCTTAAATCATCATCCAGTGCTGTTAGTATCATTAATTAGAGTGCAGCCTTGTAAGTTTTGCAGATGATACACCACTGCAAGGTTTTAATATTGAGAACACAATTTTTCACAGACATCTCTATTGTGAGTCACCTACATTTCACGATGTATTGAATCAGAAAGTAAGAGAGAATAACAGTAACAATAAAAAAAGTCAAAATGAAATGAAATGAGAAAGGAAAAAGGAAAGACAAAAAGAGAAAGAGAGAGGAAGGGGGAGGTAGAGAGGAAGTGGGGAGAGGGAAGGAAGAAGCGGGGAGACTTTAAGAGTTTGACATGTGAAGGATTCTGTAGTATGTGTCTGAACTTTATGCACAAAGCATCAGGGATTTGTGGTTTCTTACAAAGTAGTTAATGTTTTCTCATTTCATAGAAAGTTATCTTCTTTTCCTAGGTATGGAGAGTGAACGTGAAATGCAGGATGCATAAGAACACAAAAAGCCATCACTGTGTGTGTGTGTGGCGGGGAGGAGTTGGGAGGTAGTTATTAGTGGCTAAGAATGAAACTTGAGCCCTCAACCCTTTGAATTTTCCACTTGTACTTAGAATTACATTTGCTACAACTCTGCTCCTCCCCACACAAGTTTCCCAAGTGACCCACAATAATATTTCAGACACAGCATCTCTAACTTATTCATTTTCTCTCTGAGATGAATCTGGTTTACATGGTTACCATTATTTTGTGCTAATAATTTAAGGACACTTTCTGTTATCTTTCACAGTTTCAAATGCACAGTTGATTGGTATTTTCTCCCATCTGTTCTTTTTTTTTTTTTTTTTTTTTTTTTTTTTTTTTTTTTTTTTTCCCGGTACGGGGTTGTCACCCCCCGGGG